TGGTGCCCACGCAGGGGACCCGGCGCTGCCCCCTGCCCAGGGAGAATCCCGGCAGCGCCAACCTCCGGGCGGGATGGGGAGGGGACACGGTGACTTTGGCACCGCCACGGCGGGGGGACAGGGAGGGCAGTGGAGCCACATGGAGACCCCCCAGCCTCCCCATTCCATGGAGACCCCCCAGCCTCGCCACCCATGGAGACCCTCCAACCTCCCCATCGCATCCAGATCCCCCAGCCTCCCCATCCCATGGAGACCCCCCCAGCCTCCCCATCCCACGGAGACCCCCCCAGCCTCCCCATCCAGATTTCCCAGCCTCCCCATCCAGATTTCCCAGCCTCCCCATTCCACGGAGACCTCCCAGCCTCACCACCCCATGGAGACCCTCCAACCTCCCCATCCCCATCCAGACCCCCTCAGCCTCTCCATCCCCATAGAGACCCCCTCAGCCTCTCCATCCCCATAGAGACCCCCAGCCACCCCATTCCATGAAGATTCCCTAGCCTCCCCATTCCACCCAGATCCCCCAGCCTTGTCACCCCCCCAGCCTCCCCATTCCATGGAGTCCCCCAGCCTCCCCATTCCATGGAGTCGCCCAGCCTTCCCATTCCACGGAGACCTCCAGCCTCCCCATCCCATCCAAATCCCCCAGCCTCCCCATCCCATGGAGCCCCCCAGCCTCCCCATCCCACGGAGGCCCCCAGCCTCGCCATGCCCTTGGCGCCGGGGCTCCCTAGGGCGCTGAGCGCCACGCACAGCCCCATCTCGTCCCCAGGATGGGCGCCGGGTGTCCCGCGCGCCCCATCCGCGCGTCCCCATGGGTCCTACCGGGGGCTGCATGTCTGTGGGGAGTGCCGGCTCGGCGCGGCGCCCTCCGGGCGGCATTCCCTGCGCTCTGCGTGCGCCGGACCCTGCTCCGGCACCTGCGCCCGCCCAGCTCCGCCCTGGGGCCACGCCGGGACGTGGGCACCGCCGGAGCCGCCCACACGGCGCCGGGATCGGAGCCGCCGGGAGCCGGGGTGGGAGTCGGATGAGGGACGCGGGGATGGGGATGTGGGCGCAGCGCAGTGGGCACCGCGTGAGGAGGGACCCCCAATGTCCCATCCCAGAGGGTTTGGGAAGGTGGCATCCCAGTGCCTGCATCCCATCCTGGCTGGTTTGGGAAGGTGACATCCTGATGCCCGGGTCCCATCCTGGTGGGTTTGGGAAGGTGACATCCTGGTGCCCATGTCCCATCCCATCAGGTTTGGGAAGGTGACATCCTGGTGCCCGTGTCCCATTCCAGTGAGTCTGGGAAGGTGACATCCCGGTGTCCGTGTCCCATCCCATCAGGTTTGGGAAGGTGACATCCCGGTGTCCGTGTCCCATCCTGGCTGGTTTGGGAAGTGACATCCTGGTGATTGTGTCCCATCCCAGTGGGTTTGGGAAGGTGACATCCTGGTGCCCGTGTCCTATCCTGGTGCGTTTGGGAAGGTGACATCCCGGTGCCCATTTCCCATCTCAGTGGGATTGGGAAGGTGACATCCCAGTGTCTGTGTCCCATCCCGGAGGCTTTGGGAAGGTGACAAGGAGCAGGGAGCGGCGCAGAGGGCCCCGCATTGGCACCAAGGGGTGGCAGCCACCGCTGTCCCCTCTGATGGGACAGAAACAGCAGGTTGAGGAACGGCTCCATCGCCCTTCGCAAGCCAACCGTGGTGGCCACCAAAACACCCTTCACTGTGTCCCTAACCCCTGGCCTAGCGGGTGGCCTTTGGGTGGGAAAATGGGCCGGGTGAAGAAGGAGCAGGAGGAGCAGAGCTGGATTCTTGGTCGACCCTTCTCATAGCGTCAGCAACAGCAGCAGCTACTGAAACAGCTGCTCTGACCGCAGGTCCATCACGAGAGAGTCAATATTTGCACCAAACATTGACTCAGAAGGAGTTTCCACCTCTTCTTTTATCTCAGAGATGTGAGGATGAGGTCTCCGAGCCCCCGTGCCGCTGCACCCCAGCTTCTGTGGGTCCCTCTATACCACACGTGCTCTTTCCCATGGTGGTTGATGCCCTTTGGCCATCTCCATGGCACCGCGCCTGTTGGTAACCTCTGATCGGAGCAGGCTCCTTGGAAGCAGGAACTTTCCCTGCGCTCATAAACAACCGCGTTCAACACGTTGCAGGGTGGGCCAGGATTGCCCCACGTTCTGCTCAAGCCGTGACTCGCTCGGAAAGGCCATAAGGTCCTGGCTTGGTGGGCTCAGGGCACAACCAAGCAACGTCAAGCGGTGTCTTCACCGACTGATGGTTCTGCAGGTGTTTCTAGGTCAAGAAACCCATCGGTGTTAAAAGAGGGGTTGGACGGAAGAGGTATGTTAAGAAATTTAAGTTAACCATGAGTGAGCAGTGTGCCCTCGTAGCCAAGAAGGCCAATGGGATCCTGGCTGCATCAGGAGGAGTGTTGCCAACAGGTCAAGGGAGGGGATCCTGCCCCACTGTTCAGCTCTGGGGAGGCCGCTCCTGGAGTACTGGGTGCAGTTCTGGGCTCCCCAGTATAGGAGGGACGTGGAGCTTCTGGAGAGGGTCCAGAGAAGGGCAACCAGGATGATTAAGGGAATGGAACATCTCTCGTATGAAGAGAGGCTGAGTGAGCTGGGCCTGTTTTCTCTGGAGAAGAGGCGGCTCA